CTTGGGTACCCTACCATCACCCGTGGTGTACATAGTAAGGAGTTTGCAAAATGCAGACTTTGATTAGATGAGCAAATAGGAGGGAAGAGAGTTAGAGGAAGAGACAGAGGATTTGCTCCCACTTAACAGCAGAAATGTTAGAAAGCTGACAAGAAGCAACACAAAGCAGCAAGCACAGTATCTACAGGCTTTATTCGACAGAGGCCTTGTCGACAGATACTGTCGACCAAGCCTCTGTCGACAAAGAGCGTCTAGACTACAGCCAGTTCTGTCGACAAAGCAAGCCGCTTTGTCGACATGACAGTGTAGACGCAAGGGACAGTGTAGATGCAATAATGCTGTCGACAGAACTCTGTCGACAAAAGGTGTTATTCCTCATAGAATGAGGTTTACCGCCATCGACAAAACTGCCAAGTTCTGTCAACGTTATGTCAACAGAACTTGGCGGTAGTGTAGACGCAGGTATAGTTTTGTCGACAAAAGTCCACTTTTGTTGACAAAATCCTGTAGTCTAGACACATCCTTCTTGTTTAAAAACACAAGGGAGGGAAAATAGAAATGGCTTTTTAACCAGACTGAGCCCCAGGATGGTTTTGCCACCTCTGGAGGTTCTAGGAACCGAAAGGACAGGCTCACCGAATTAAGAACAAACAAGAGAAGGACTCGTACTACAGTGTTCCCAGAGACCCATTCTGCTAACATGGGTCAATATTATTAAGAAAACTCTTCAGCCACAGTGCGCTCTGTACTCCACAGAACACTGAAAGGCAGAGAAAGTTATTTCAGTTGACACAGGCAGGGGGGCTTTTGAAATACATTTTCATGTTAAATATGCTCTTTGAAAAGTAAATTTAAAAATAAGTAAAAAAAATTAAAAAGCCCCTCCTTTAAAAAAAAAAAAGACTCATTCAAATGATAAACACCAAATTTAATTTAAAAATTCAGTGTGAATAGATGTATACATCACTCTGATCCTTTCCTCTATTAAGCCACCTGGCTCTCACCAACCAACAATCTATCCACACATCTACTTACCTTCTAACCCCAATCTGTCCTTCAAGTGTTTATTCCATCATCCATCTATTTATTTTTCAGTGTCTCTCTCAACCTAAAGTCACTCTCTCACTCATATATGCATTTATTAAATCACAGTAGCCTCAGAAGCAGTGCTCCCTATAAGCAGTGAACTTGTACAACCGCTCAGGAGAGATTCAAGTGCTGCTCAGCTGATAAGCAAAGTGCACACAGCTAGGCTTTGTTTTTACTGGTGGTGCACATTCACACATGCCTTGGTGCACATAAAGTTTATCCTGCACATAGACGGAAGAAACCCTTACATTAATGGAAAAGATTAAAAGGAATATTGCTTGTAAGTATCTCATGTTTCTATACAGCAGATACATCTTGTCTAGAAACACTGTTGAGAAAGGAAGTCCTACATATTCAAATATGACCTCTAGTATTGCAAGCACCACTTTGCTACTGCTGCTAAATGTGGAAACAATTGCACCTGTGATTGTATTCATTTTAGAAGCCTCGCCACCTGAGCGTACCTACACATCAGGCACATAGATATCTGAGCAGATTAATTGTAGACACAACAAATAACAGCTTGCAATTTTGCATGCATATGTAACTGTAGTCACAAAGCTGATCCTGCGACATCAAAAACCAGATTAAAGTCTGATGAAAAATCAGGGACTAAAATGATTGTCAGTAACTAAGATACTGGGTTGAAATCCTGGCTCCCATTACATTCAATGGTATTTTGGGGTGATAAGTAACCTCCACATATACAATCCGTTTATAATGATAGAATGAAACAACATAAGCATTTTAAAATTACAGTGCACAGAAATACACAAAGAACAAGAGTAATTTTTTCCCATGTGAATTCTTTTTGAGGCTGGAAAATCATTATAAGAGAATTACCTATAATTTATAACTATATATGTATTGTACATATATGAATTGGGGAAAAAAGCTAAATAGGAGTAAAATAAATAACCTTCAGATTGAGAATATTTTTTTCTTTTTTCACGTTTAGTGAAAAAGTTTCATTTCCTCCACTGTTGCTGAAATAAAATAATTCTAGATTAAATGCACACCAATGAAGGCCTCATGAGATGGATTTAAATTGGAGGCACTCCTGTACACCCACTTCACATTCAGAAGTATCACCTTGCATGTGCAAATGTAGGCTTTTCTGCATAGACGTGGCCATGCACATATTGTGTGATCTCCATTTGGAAGAACTCTTAGAAAATGATACTCTTGGGGTCGGCATTTCAAGTATATGACTAACTTCACATGCAGAGCCTGCACATGCTGGTGGAAATAGGTAATTTTCAGACCTGTGCTGAGGTCTTTGAGTTCAGAGGGGTTTTGCTTGTTTGCACATAATACACATTTTGTTTGTGCTTCTTGGGGAGCCTGGGTTTGAAAATGAAGATGTTTTGAAATGTACAGATTAACACAACAATCATCCTAGAAGTTTGTAGAACTCCTTGGGGATGTTCAAATGTCTTTGTGTCAAAAAGACTCTGCTATTTACTGAAATCTGCAAATATTTCTCGGCAGCCTCCTGTCCTTACAAAGGGGGCAGCTGGAAATAACGCCAAGAAGTAGGGAAGCCTAAACTTATTTAGAATAATTTCCTGTCCAGATATGTCCAGGTGCATTCCAAACTATCTGTTGGCCAGAAAGAGACCCATTTAACTAAAAAAAATGTCTAATACAGGCAGTCCCCGACTTACGCGGATCCGACTTATGTCGGATCTGCAGTTAGGAACGGGGCTTTTCTCGCCCCGGAGGACACGGGCGGCGGGACCGCAAGGTCCCGCAGTCCGTGTCCTCCGGGGCGAGAAAAGCCCCGTTCCTAACTGCAGATCCGACATAAGTCGGATCCGCGTAAGTCGGGGACTGCCTGTATTAGACATTTTTTTTAGTTAAATGGGTCTCTTTCTGGCCAACAGATAGTTTGGAATGCACCTGGACATATCTGGACAGGAAATTATTCTAAATAAGTTTAGGCTTCCCTACTTCTTGGCGTTATTTCCAGCTGCCCCCTTTGTAAGGACAGGAGGCTGCCGAGAAATATTTGCAGATTTCAGTAAATAGCAGAGTCTTTTTGACACAAAGACATTTGAACATCCCCAAGGAGTTCTACAAACTTCTAGGATGATTGTTGTGTTAATCTGTACATTTCAAAACATCTTCATTTTCAAACCCAGGCTCCCCAAGAAGCACAAACAAAATGTGTATTATGTGCAAACAAGCAAAACCCCTCTGAACTCAAAGACCTCAGCACAGGTCTGAAAATTACCTATTTCCACCAGCATGTGCAGGCTCTGCATGTGAAGTTAGTCATATACTTGAAATGCCGACCCCAAGAGTATCATTTTCTAAGAGTTCTTCCAAATGGAGATCACACAATATGTGCATGGCCACGTCTATGCAGAAAAGCCTACATTTGCACATGCAAGGTGATACTTCTGAATGTGAAGTGGGTGTACAGGAGTGCCTGTTTACATGTGCAATGTCCCATTTTGCACACTCAAATGGCTTTTTTGAGAGCAAAGAGCATGCAAAGCCAGTTTTGTGACTAAAATTTAGGATTTACAATTCAATTACTTTACAATTCAATTATCAAAGCACAGATTATTGTGCTGGAAATATAGTTTGTGTCACCCACATGTCTTTCAGAACTAAAAGTCTGAAGTGACAGGTCAACATTTCACCTGGTGAAGTCTTTCCTAGGACAACTTAAAAAAACCTCTAAAACGCATTTCTTTTACAGTGATGTGGAGACAATGACATTTCAAAGAAAAACAAACTACATGCAAAACAGCAAATAAAACACACAACAAAGTGATCGACACTGAAGTGTTCAAATCAACCTACACCCCATGTAACCCCATATCGTACACAGGGTTCCTGGACCCTACAAGTTGCTACAATGGAACAGATAGACACTAAGTCTGAAGAATAGAAACAAAGTGATTAAAGTTCCCAAATAATAAAAAAACCCTTACGCTGCTATGGAAATATTAGCTGCAGACATGGGACTGACTTCTGCTACCTCCTTGGCCTTTTGGAGCGCAAGCTTCTGATTGGTAGCCTCTTCCATCTCCTCTTCATCCTGTTTTCAAAATCAAGACATATCCAGGGTTACATCATTCATCGTTTATTTAAAAACCTAGGAAGAAAATCAACTGAGCTCAAATGGCCACAAGTGATACACAACGGTCACTGCCACATTTAATCTAACAACAGTGAAAACATTCTGAAACAGAGCATCCAGGTTTGGTTAAAAGACACAATTGCATGTTTTGTGATGCCACATTTTCCTAAGCAGGGCCCACGGGCTTTTCCCTGGAAGGCCATATTAGTAAGTTACAAGGAATCTGAAGGCTGCATAAAATAGAGCTGATGGCAGCTGCCTTCATCTTTAATACAGCGGCAAACTCTCTCATGACTACAAATCCTACAATGCAAGGTTCTCTGTTGGTTCCTTCTGCTGAGGTTCCTTCTATTTGGGCCACAGAGGTGCACAGCTTGTGGGCTGGACTCTCCAGTTTCCTTATACTTTGGCGCATCATAACTGGGCAACATGTGACACAAAGTGGAAAGAGAATACATAAGACTGTGACCTTTTGTGTGTCAAATAAGATCACATTCTTTTGATTAAACTGAAAGTATGTTTTTCTTAAAACAAAAAGGGTACTAGAGGGCCTGGATCTGACCTTCTACATATGAAATTTTTACATTGGTGTCACTCCACAGATTTACCCTAGAGGGACCTGATATTGGATGTCATGTTAAATTAAGGTTCTGGCTGGAAAGATACTTGTGTAAAGACAGCTCCAGATTAGAGGCTTGTAACCTGACCTGAACTGCATGGGACCAAAAATCCATGAGTGGTTTAAATGGCCTGACCCTTCTGCACTCGGGTCCGGTAGTCTCTGATCACCTCCTCCTGCCAGGGGGTCTGCGAAAGAGGGGCTGCCTGTCCCACTCCTCCTGGCCACCATGGCTTTGCTACACTTTGTGTGCTAACAAGCATGAGGTAGTCACTCAGTGTGCCAACTCCATGGACAGCAGGCAGCAGGAGACAGAACGCAGTCATGGGCATGAGGAGCGGGAAGCCCCCACCAGGCCACGACCCAAGACTGAGGCGGTGGGGGCCAGGCTGCAGGGTCCGAGAGCTTGACAACAACCATCCTTTGTTTCAATCTAGTCACGTGTGTCAGGAATGATGGAAAATCAAACACGGAACCCTACAATGCCACTTTTAGCCCCAAGCATAATCCTTCTTCAAAGATTAGGGCAGTTCTAGACCACACAGTAGCTCAGTGCAGGATGCTATTTCACCATCTCTTGCTGCTGAGGCTTAGTGCTGTGACATATTAACTAGTGCATAGCATACATCTGAATTTTTCCACCCTGGAATAGTATAGGCCAAAACAACCAACTGGTCATAATTTAATATTATTTGATCACATTAAACTCATTTTGAAATTGGTTTCCTTTGCTTTCCTCTTTTTGAAAGAAAAAATTACAGTGAATTATAGAGGTGGAAAAACTCCCTCTGCCATTAGGCTTTGAAGCTTGCTTCTTTTTCTCTCTCCAGATATTAGTAAATCTATAATGAGCAACTCCTCACTGCAGTTAAAGAAGGAATCCAAGCCAGACCACGACAAAAATGCTCCATTAAACAATTACACAAAGTCGATGTCTCTCAACTGCCAATTTCCAGTAAATTTATCAATGGCTTGAGACTTTTTACTGTAAGTGAAATGTATATTTTTTTGTTCTGCCAAATATGAACCATTTGGGGGTATACAAACTGGAAGTACTGTACACCGACTAAACTTTGAACGTTTTGCTTTTATGGGCTGGGGTTTCTCTGTCTTTTCTCCCAAGTGCTAGCCTGCTTTAATACAATCACAGAGGGTTAAATTGTTGTCATTGGCCTTTTAAAATAACCATTCATGGAACATGACAGAAAGATTAAATTTCCTGCTTCTAGCCACTTTCAAATGCAGCACAAAATTCTGATAGACTCTATGGCTACGTCTACACTGCGGACCTATTTCAGGATACCAGAGGTACCCAAAATTGCTATCCCTTGTCTTAACAACTCACCCATTATTTTGAAATATAATTGGTTCACTATTCTGACATCCCTGTACACCTTGTTCCACGAGGAGTAAGGGACGTTTTGGAACAACAGGTTATTTCAAAATTTGGCACCGTGTAGACAGTGCCAAATTACGAAATAAGCTATTTCAGAATTCGTTTGAAATAAACTATGCAATTTGCGTAGCTCAAATTGCGCAGCTTATTTTGAGGTACAGGTGCAGAGTAGACAGACCCTATAGTGCCAAATAACCAGCAGAAAATTGCTATTGTATTTACAAATTTAACAGTACATAACTTAGAGTGTTTGGCAGACAAAGTGTTTCATAAAATAAAGACGATAATAGTTCTGCAGCACTTTCTATCCAGGCTTTTCAAAATAGTATACACATATTAAACAAACTTCTGTCTTACACTAGAACTGTAAGTTCTCTTTTCAGAGACCATCTTTTTGTTCTGTTTGTACATATGCATCATAGGGATCCTGTTGCATGACAGGGGCTCACAGTTGCTACTGCAATACATATCTGATATTACTACCTCTAATACTATCAGCAGAAGCAGCAGTTGCGGACACCTGGAGCCATACATCCCTATAGATACCCTTATTTTACAAAAGAGAAGGCAGATAGGAAGGTTATAAGTGATTTGCTTCCTGTCTGTCAGTCCTGTTCTCTAACCACTAATAATTTCTTCCCTGAAATTGAGATCTAGCCTGTGACCCTTTCACTGGATCACGTATCTCACCAGTGGATGAAAATAATGATATAAGTGCTCAGGATGATCATCAGTAGTAATGTTATTATGTTCAGAGGCACATGTTCCTTTAGTTGTGAGGAGGATGTAAATGTGATTGTTTATCACCCTCCACAATGCTACTGGCAAGCTTTGCATGGGCAGCACACTATCTTATTTAAAGCAAGAAGAGGGAAAACTTGAAAAATTTGTATTTTTAGGGAGTTGCTTTATAGCACTCATCCATTTTCTAATCAGGTTTCCACTTACTAAGCTGAATTGAAATGCAGCAACCATGACTCTGCCATCAGTGACAACCCGCTGGTAAATACTACAGAATAAGTTTAAGTCATCTGATAAACCATCTCCTATTTCAGATCTAATACAGGTAAGTGCTGGCTGAACTGATGCATCAAAGGGAGGTTTATTTGTTTGTCTTCCCCCAAAGAGTCATTTTAAGGTTACTTACAGTATTTGGACACTGCATGCAACACTGATCTTGATGAGTTTTAAAATGTAATTGTCAAATGAAGTCCCTGGAGGTCAACTGACTCCTGAGTAATTTAATTATATCTTCAGGCCATTCTGAATTTTGCACGCTCGTGTTTACTTAGCAATAAATCTCTCATTCTCTACATGGGCCGGATAATTGAATTACTTTTTATCTTTTTCTTCCTGATTTGAAAACCTTAGTAGATTTTTGGATCTGTGAAGTGAAAGCATTTCGAAAGAAGCTCTGTGATTTGGCAGTGCTTTTGATTCTGTCAATATATAATTGCACTCCATAAACTCTGACAAAAGCAGTTTTCTAAACACTAGAGTCCACTTCTAAACTATTCAAAAGGCAAAGTTAAAAAGACTAGAAAGGAAGAGATGAACTTCATTGGACAAGAACTTTAAGGGGTCTATTCTTTTATCCATGCATGGAAGTGACTCCCATAAATCCTCATGGGATGGGGGGAAGTTAAGTACACCTATTGAGAGGATCATACATTTCTAGTTAAGAACTTCTGGATTTTATAATGCACAGAAAGAGCTGAGTTTCTGAATGGGAAAATCTTCCTCAGTAAAACTCAGACCCATCCCCTAAACTCAGGACTCAAATTAATCAGAACAGAGAAGAGATCAGCAAACATGATCTCACAGACAGAGGAACATTTATTATACACCTGTGACCCATTATCCCTATCTTGTGCAATACATCAGACATCCCCTTCCAGGAAACAAAGCTCTATTCAGCTCTGCAGACCGAAGGCAGCAATGCAGCTGCCTATCCGAGAGGGACAACTATACAAAAAGAGTTCAATCCTAAACCAGTTCTGAATCAGGATGTAGTTAGCTGTGTTGGGATTTGGGTGGCAGGAATTGGGATGGGAGAGGGGTTCTTCTTTGACTCTGGCTTCCCATGTCAAGAAGTATTAGGGATGTATGGTATCTCCGAACCACTGGCAATAGTGGTGCACTGTTGATGATTACAAGGCATGCACTGAATGCCTCAGACCGGCTATGCCTGCGGGATCATTCTGTCTGGTCCTGAACTTGCATTGAGGATGCCAAAATGGCATCCTCTGCACAGCATGACCTGTAATGTTCTGTATATGCAGGATCACACTGCATGGAGGACGCCAT